GGGGGGGGGGGGGGCCACGCCAGCCTTTTCTTTTAAGCCCTTTTGGGGATTGGGGGGGGTTTTTGCCTAAGGGAGGGGAGGATAGGGTTTTTGCAACCCCATAATACGCCGGGGCACAGGGAGGAGCACAGCCTGTCCAAGATATTGTTCCCTTTCTTCGCATGCTCGTCGTGGGGATATCCGCGCGAGGTCATACGCCACAGGCCAGCAATCACTCGGTGATGAGACTACTGATTTGGCGCGACGCTCTGACACCGAGTGTTGCTCGACGCTGCGACACCGCCAAGTACCGCGTGCAGCGCTCAAGCTCGCGGAGTACACCTCTCGCTATCATCACGCTTCGCGGCGGTCGGGCTGCTTAATTTGTCGGAAGACACCCAGAGGGTGGGGCGGCGGCGAAGAGGCGGGAGAGCTGGGTTTCCGTGCGCTCTGCTGCTGGGGGAGTCGGGACCCCCCCCCCCGCAGCAGCGCTCTGCTGCTGGGGGGGTCAGACCCCCCCCCCTAGCAGCAGGGATGGAGCTTTAGATGTGCGGGGGGGGTACCGAGCAGTGAGCGGCCGCTCCTAGTAGCAGCTGAGATTAGCATAGATTCATAGTCTCCACTCCCACTTTGATCCAAGGGCTCACACGCCGCTCAAGTCTTTATAATTTAACTTGCATTTTAATGATTAAATGCCAAGCATCTTGGGATGCGAAGCATCTTCAGATGATTCGAGCATCCCAGGATGCTCCGGCAAGTTGAAAATACCATCTAGAGATGCTCGAGCATAGGCAAGACAGTGTGCAGTCCAAGTAGGGCGCATCTTAGATGCATATTATCTCAAGATGCGCACATATCATCTGTAGATGGGGGGGTCGCTGCCCCTGACGAAAGGTGGGGCGGAATCTCGCCGCGGTACACGCCGAAGGGACACCTCACGAGACACCTCAGAGAGTTACACAGAGATGGAGATTTGAGGTTTCCTAATCGTTTACAAGATATCCGCCCCGCCCGCCCGCCCGGCGCGGGGGCTGCCCCCCCCCCCGCCCCCCCCGGCCGGGGGGGGGCCCGTGGGTTCCCGGTTGCGGCTCCTGGGGCTCCCCGGGCGTCGGGGCCCCGGGCGGGGGGTCCGCCCCCCTTGCCGGCGGTCCCGGCCGGCCCCCCTTTTGGCCCGACGCCCCGCCCCCCCGGGGTCTGATCAGCCTGGATTGCTCCCTTGCTTTTCCGCCCCCGGCCCCCCCCCCAGGCCCCATCGCCCCCTGGGCCCTCCG